AATAAGCCTTGTGATTAAGCAACTATATGTCTTGGAAAGCCTTTATACTTCTTGTAACTCCTTTTCTCATCCTACTACAGGCACCTGTATGAGTTTACTTTGGTTGCCATAATGTACCATTGACTCTCACTTAAACAATAGAAATTATTTTTCCATGGTTCTAAAAACAGCAATCCAAAATCAAGGTGTTAGCAGATTGGTTTCTTCTGAGGTCTGCCTCCTTAGTTTATTAGATGGCACCTTCTCGCCATGTGTTCACCTGGTCCTCCCTCTGCCTGTGTCCAAATTTCCTCTTCCTCAAAGGTCAGTAGACATATTGGATTAGGGTCCAATGTAACGACCTCATTTTAGTTACCTCCTGAAAGATCCTCTCCCCAAATATAGTCACATTAGCAGGAACTGAGATTTAAAACTCCAACATATGAATCGTAGTGGCCAGGATGGAGGTGGGGGTGACAAGGGGTGGAGTGGGGAGACAACTCAGTCCATAACACAGAACTAGGTTTAAGTTTATATACCTACATTGAGCTGAAGTATATGTGATATAGAAGAGGCTTGGGAAGGTAGAATTCTAAATTTGATTTCTAAATACTAGCTTTAGCCAATTTGAAAATTTAATGGAGGAAATCTCATTCACAATACAAAATAAATAAATAAATAAGCAAAAAGTAAGAAATAGGCCTAACAAATACCAAGTAAGCCTTAGAAAAAATGTGTCAAAGTATAGACCTATGCATTTGTGTAACTATATAGGTACATGTGTTTACATATTCACATATACATATATGTAGCTCAAATGTAGCCAACATACATTTGACATTAAAAGGACTTGAGAATGCAAAACTTGAAAATTATCATCTAAATGTCAGTATTAGCCAATTAAAACATAATTGGGACATAAAATAAGGCCTGCGAAAATGGAAAGATACATAAAATATTATGACCTTCTTCAGTAGGAAGACAGTACTGTAAATATGTCCATTTTTCCCCCAAAGACAAATTCAATGCAATCACAATCAAAACACTAAATATTTTATGGATAAACAAGTGATTTGAAATTCCTCTGGAAGAGAATATGTGCAAAGATAATTAGAACAATGTTGGAGACATCCCTTGCCCAAAGAACAAACCCCACCATCCATCAATACCAGTGTATGCAGTGTGACATATCTGAAGGCACAAAAAGACCAGGAGAATAAAATAGAACAGAAATGGATCCATGAATGCTTGCAATTTAAGGGATAATGAAAGCTCAAAATGATGGGAAAAGGACCAATCATTTAACAAATGGTGGTGTAACATTGTCCAATGGGAAACACATAAAATTAGATTTCTAACTTTTGCTATCAAACTATAGGTGAATTTAAGAACTAAACATGAACAATTCAATAATATGAAACTAAATGATAATTTATTGACTTGCACAAATTTTTGAAATCCATGCATATTTTTCACATTATGCACTTTTCATGAATTTTTTTTACAACGCCTTGAATTTTCCTGATATTAGTGTCAGAATAGGAACTTTCACCAAACACACTTCCTGCCTTTGAACTCATGCAATAGTGCAGAAGAAAAGCATGAAAGGGGGCTGGCATTGTGGGGTAGCAGCTTAAGCTTTCACTTGGCAATGCCAGCATTCCACATGGGCACAGTTCATGTCCCAGTTGCTCCACTTCCAATCCAGCTATCTGCTAATGTGCCTGGGTAAGCAGCGGAAGATGGCCCATGTGCTTGGATCCCTGCCAGCCACATGGGAGACCCAGATGAAGCTCCTGGCTCCTGATTTTGTCCTGGCCCAGCCCCAACCATTCAACGATTTGGGGATTGAACTAACAGAAGGAAGATTGCGTCTCTCTCTCTCTCTCTCTGTTTCTCTCACTGTAACTCTGCCTTTCAAAGAAATAAATCTTTTTTAAAAATTAAATTAAAAAAAATCACCACCATATCCAGAGCGCAATGCTGGGTTTGGTTTTTCCTGCTATGGCAGAGATATCCATTCACACCAGAGAAATGCTTAGCCCAACTAAATCTAGGATGAGTGAGGCCAGAAATTCAGGGGGTGGGGGTGGGGGACTGGTCAGAGAAGGGCAGCTGGGAAGGAGGCACTATGAGGGCAGAAGGAGCAACAGGAGTAGGGGACCACATGGTGCCCGGATGTGCAGAAGGTAGGGGTGGTGAGAGAAGGGAGTGTGCTATTTGTGAAGAGGGGTGGGCAGGATGGGGAGTGGCCACCTAGGGAGGCAGCAGGGGCTGAGGACTCTAGGATATAAGCCCTAATAAAGAGCATTTGAAGGAGTAGGGTGAGGTTTTATTGAATTTCATTTGAAGATGAAGCTGACTGCTGGGGCAAGAATGAATTCAAGAGCCAGAGGAGGGCCAGGGGGACCAATTAGGGTAGTGGGCTGTGGCAGCCCTTCTGACAAGGTAACATTTCTAGCCAGGGCAGAGAAACCTTGTGTAGATGCTAAGAGAGGTGGCTGGCTATGGTGCCCAGGCAGCAGGCAAAATGGACAGGACCCAGCAACTGTGCAAAGTGAGGTGGAGGAATCAAAGACAGAAACCCAGGCTCCAACACAGTGCATGAACTCATCAACTCACAAAGTCAGAATGAAAAGAACAACAGGCTTTTAGCCTGGCAGTTAAACTTGCTACACAAATACCTACATCAGAGTTCTAGAGTTCAAGTCCTGGCTCCACCCCTGACTCCAGCTTCCTGCCAATGCAGACTCTGCACGGCAACAGTGATGGCTGAGTGACTGAGTTCCTGCTCTCTACACGGGAAATCTGGATTTACTTCCTTGCTCCTGTCTCCTGGCCTGGCCGGGTTAGGTATTTGGGGAGAGAAATAGCTGATGGAAGTGTTCTCTCTCTCTCTCTCTCTCCCTCCCTCCCTCCCTCCCTCCCTCCCTCATTCTGCCTCTCAAGTTAAAAATAAATAGGGGCCGGCACTGTGGCACAGCAGGTTAACACCCTGGCCTGAAGTGCCAGCATCCCATATGGGCGCCAGTTCGAGACCCAGATGCGTCACTTCTGATCCAACTCTCTGCTATGGCCTGGGAAAGTAGTAGAAGATGGCCCGGGTGCTTGGGCCCCTGCATGTGCATGGGAGACCCAGAGGAAGCTCCTGCCATTGTAGCGAACTGGGGAGTGAACCAGTGGATGGAAGACCTCTCTCTCACTTTCTCTCTCTCCCTCCCCCTCTCTTCTCTCTGTGTAACTCTTTCAAGTAAATAAATAAATCTTAAATAAATAAATAAAAACAATGAAAAGCAACCCTGGGGGAGGGGCAGCGAGGCAGACACCACCACTGTGTGCACCCCCGGGGTTCTTTGCTGGGAACTCTCAGCAGGATTTCCACTACACTGCGGCGTCTGAATGCTGGTCCCCACACTGCTGTCCACTCCTTAAAGGAACATGTCCTATCCTCCATATCCATAATACCAACACACCGTCAGCATCTGTTGAGGTCATCTCTGGACCTAGTTCCCTCCCTTTCTAAACAAGAGCCCCCAGAACCCAGGTGCGGGGAGTTGAGAGAAGGCAGGAGTTGAAAGCTCCTGGCAGAAAGAAGACCTGAACCTGGCTTTCCTGTATTCCCAGGTCACTGCTCTCTCCGTTCTCTGCATTGCAGCTCCAGTGAATGGCAAGGCTGGCATTCCAGCTGGCAACAGAATGTAGAATTCTTGGCCCCTCCTACACGAAGTGGCGAGAGACACTAGGTAGTGCTAAACTACGGCTCTGCTTGCCTTGTGTCCCGGCCTGTGGCTATGCACTGAGTTCTGCTTAGTCTTGTCTGGTGCTATAGACTGCGATGAAATGGGCTGGAAGCCCACGCCCTGCTCTTCATGGGGAAAATCCGTCGGCACCCTCTCACCTGCAAACTGCATTGATGGTGTGAAGCTGTGAGCTCAGTACCTATGCAGGCTGCCAGTAGAGGGCACCAAATGCCGGAGCCCCAACCCCACCACAGCCCCCAACTATCCGCTCTCCTTTGCCAGTCCACTCCCACAGTGAATCTGTGCTCCTCCCTTCTGGCATCGTGCTGTGGCCCACATTCTCTGACCAGACTGACGCACCCAGCAGGACACACTTCTCCCTGTCCCTTCCTCCGCTCTCCTAAGCCAAGCCATGGATTCCTGGGTTTTCCATGGCTCCCCCAGCCTGCCCTGATTACCAGCCCTGTGAGCGGCTCAAGTACTCACAGCGCCTGCACTGAGTTGCATTTCTACTGGTATTACGGCTTGCACTTCATCTTACTCATCTCACCACGCTTCGCGGAAAGGGTGCAGAAGGAGCCAGAGGAGCATTCGTTAACTTTAGGGGGCTGGGGTGTCTTAATCTGTGTGTGTGTGTGGGGGGGTGCTACTGGAAAGAGCTGAGGAGCCTCCTGCGAGGAGGAGATAAATCCCACATTTGCCAGGAGCCCAGAGGGCTAATCTTGACTCAGACTAACAGGTGGGTGAGGGGAATTGCCGCAGGCCTGTTTTTCTGGGCACAGACCTCTCTAAAGTGCTACTTAACAGGGCTGGTGTGGCGCGATGGGGCTTCCGCAGGCAAGAGGACCCATCAGGTGTTCCAGCACCTCCTTGAGACCCTGGGAAAGGAGCTGTCTCCGCAGGCCCAAGGCTGGGAGCACAGAGCAGCAGCCAGAACAACTAACGACAGCGGTCCTATTGGTGAATACCAGTGAGAGTCTCTCTGGGAAGAAGCAGAAGTCTAGCGGGGCAGTGAGACCTCGCTGGCGACATGCGGGTAGTTATGGCGGGTTATGACCGCTCCGTACCCGCAGGATAACCCTGGACCTTTTTGACCTTGGTAAACGTGGTGAACACGCGAGCTTTGGAGAAATCGAGGAGGAACTGTACTACATCTGCTTTAGCCTTCCTCGAGCTGGATACCGCGCTCAGTCCGCAGGGCGAGAGGTCACTCTGCACTGTCGGGGAATTAAAAAAAAAAAAAAAAAAAAAAAAAAAACACCACACACACACACAGCTCCAACTTTTTCCCCCCAAACTGCCTTCCTCCTCATGAAACCGAATCCTCCAGCTGTGGCGTCCCAGGCGCCCGCCCCGACGCGCCGCGGCTCCCGCCCGGAGGCGGCGCCCCTCGCCCGGCTCCTCTGCCTGGCTCCTGCCTTCGCCCTGCGCAGCCAGCTGCGCCTCCGACCTGCCGGCGCCTGTCCTGCCTGAAGATGAAGGTGTGGCTGCTGCTGGGCCTTCTGCTGCTGCACCAAGCGCTGGAGGATGGTGAGCGACCCCGGGCCGGGGCTGTCCGGCTTGTGCCCTGACCGTCCAGCCAGGGCTGCAGCCAGCCCTTGCTCTAACTTCTGGTCCTGGGTGGCTCTGCCCCGGCGCCCACTTGCCCCGTGCACCTGCCTCGCCCCCCCTATAGGGTTTCCTCCTTCCTCTTTCTCCCTCCCCTGAGAGCCCTCTGGGAAGGGGGCGGCTACTCTGACCCTTAAGAGCCCACCAGAACCGCTCTGCCTATCCTGCGGGCGAACCGAGCATCCGCAGGCGGCGCCTGGTCCAGCCCCAGTGTCAACGTGTCAGCCTGGGAGGTGGCGCGCGAGCGGTGGATCGCTTCCACCTCGGCGCCGTGCCCAGGCGGGTGCCACCCAGGCAAGGCAATTGCTGATCCCTTCTGCGAAATTCCAAGCATCCTTCTCCCCTCCGCAGTCCGTGGTATGTTTATCACCTTGAGCTTGAATCCCCCAAGATCAGTTGAGACCCCAAATTTCTGTGTATGAAGCCTCTAAACGAATCCAAACACCACTGTCGTTACGTTCCTTGTCTGACTGATGCGAAAAAGGTGAAGAAAAGACATTTTTTGTTTAAAATGTGTGCCTGTTAGCTTCATTTGTAAGTGTGTGTGCACGTGTGTCTATGTATGCATATAAAGAAGTCATGTACAATATTCATGTTATATTTGTATGACCGTTAGCATTTAATTGCCTTGCTTGTTCCATTATTTATTTAATTGGAGTTATTTGTACGGCATGGTTTTCATCCAGTTACATCCTGGTATCCTCAGCCCTCCCTTGAAATTCTTCCCCTCAGCCACAAAGTTGCTGAAAGTTGGTTGAAGCTCAGCCTTTGCTGTTATGCAACCTCACACCAAAGCCAGCTCAACCTGGCTCGCATTTTCTCCACTGCTCCATCCTGACCCGATCTTTTCTTTCCAGTGAAAAGACAAGCATCTGCCAGGAAAATACCACAGTTGAATTTGCAAAGTCCAAAGCCGTCATGAGTCTTCATGCTTAATAAAGTGTAGAGCCATGCTTAATAAAGTGCAGGGAGTGCCTCTCCTGGGGAGCAACACTCACTCCTGGTCCCAAGAGAAGTTGGCGTGGGTTTAGCTTTTAAAATGCAGTATTAAACCACTCCTGGCAAGTCTTGTATGTGCCTGCTGAAATGGCAGAAATGTAGCATTTGATATCATTTTTCAATAGGGCAGGAAATAGCCAGGCAAAAATCATTTCAAATAGTCCAGTCCCTTGTTTTTACCCAAGATGTCAGTCTCAGAAGCTCAGGCATGCTTTCAGCATGGCTCTCCCTTAGCCAAAGCATGCCCAGACCAGGTCAGTGATTATGCAAACATCTGCCTAAATAAATTAGCATCTGTTTGAATAAAAATTTAATTCACATAAAAAGCATTTCAAAGAAAATCTGACAGGCGGCCAGCTCTGTGGCCTGAAGTACCAGCATCCTGTATGGGCACTGGTTCGAGACCCGGCTGCTCCACGTCCGATTCAGCTCTCTGCTGTGGCCTGGGAAAGCCGTGGAGGATGACCCAAGTCCTTGGGCCCCTGCGCCTGCGTGGGAGACCCGGAGGAGGCTCCTGGCTCCCAGTTTCAGATCAGCGCGGCTCCGGCCATTGCGGCCAATTGGGGAGTGAACTATCGGATGAAGGACCTCTCTCTCTCTCTCTCTCTCTCTCTCTCTCTCTCTCTCTCAGCCTCTCCTCTGTCTGTGTAGCTCTGACTTTCAAATAAATAAATAAATCTTTAAAGAAAAAAGAAAATCTGACAGTGCTGAGCACAGACAGAATATTATACAAGGATAAAGTTTAAGTGTGTGATAACATAGTGGTTTTGTGTTACACAGAGAGACTATGGGTAAAACATGGGACACATACTTGGAAAAGTACATTTATTGCCTTAAGTAGGAGTTTTTATTTTTTCCTGTTTTGGGTGGTGTGATGGGCTGTGGCCAGGAGGAAGTGATGGGAGTGGATCACACAGAAGCCTTTCCAGAGCCTGTCTCTGATGGGCAAGTTGAGCTCTGTTACCTGTTGGGCTGTCCAAAGCACCAGCTGCAGGCAGAAGCCCCCCGCTCAGCCTTTCAGAGCTGGGGGCCACATCCAGGAGACCTACAAGGAAAAGGCTCTCCTGTGAGTACGTGCATAGAGGACTGGACAGCTGTCCCAACAGCGACGTTGGCCTTGCATTTTTAGAAACGATATTTCTCCTCATGAAGAGGAAGAGCTGGAAGGCCACTGAGGCATCAAGAAATTGAGGCGTGAAAACATTAAATACCCCAGGATCTCACTTAGACAATACTCCCAGCCCTGATTGTCAGCCGTGGTATGGAATTTGTGCCACTGTGTTTATTGGTATGGTGCTGTTGGTATCACATGACAATATAAAATCACAGTTGCTTACCAGCTTTTGGTTATCTCCATATTTCAATTCAATGCTAGGAACAAATGAGGATGCAGCAATATCGATTTGTTGTTACTGTTTTGTTGAACCACACCAGCCTTGATCTGTGCTAATTTGATCTTCAGTCTGATCTGGCTTTATTTTGGACCCTATGGAAGGGTTTCCTTCCTGGGAAGGCTGAAGAGATCAATTATGATGTGTAAGACAGGAAAGGGGTCACACAGTGACCCTGATTCTCAGACTTACGTCACTTCTGTGTCTCAATTTATCCTGTGGAAAAAGACAGAAAATAGTGCAAAAGCTCTGTATAATGAAAAGAGAATTTTAAATTCCCCATTGTTTACAAGTGCATATAATGAATGTTTCAAAGCCTTTAGGATCTTGGTTTAGGTGTTTGATATGTAGAATAATTTTGGCTGCGCAGAGCCAAAAGAGAGAAGTTAGAGGGCAAGAGAGAGTGGATGGTCAGGAGGGTAAGCAGAGGCCTGAGTACTGACAGTTTCCCTGGCCGAGGCCGTGACACCTTTCTCTGTGGTGCTTACATCTAACGGAGAGGACAGACAGCAAATAAACAAGCAGAGCTAGAATCTCAGGAAGCGATCACTGGTATGAAGAATCACTAATCAGAGGGAGTTAGTGTGCTAAGGTTGCCACAGCACAGTTCCGGGACCACGTGCCTTAACACAGCAGAGGGTTCTTCTCTCAAGCGCTGGAGACTAGAAATCCATAGCCGAAGTGCAAGCCTTGCCCTGATGCTTCTGAGACCCTGGCTGGAACCCTTCCTCACCTCCTCCTGTTCTCTGGTGGTGGCCAGTAATCCCAGGTGTTCCACGCCGAAGTGCAAGCCTTGCCCTGATGCTTCTGAGACCCTGGCTGGAACCCTTCCTCACCTCTTCCTGCTCTCTGGTGGTGGCCAGCAATCCCAGGTGTTCCTTGGCCTGCAGCACTCTGATGTCTGCCTCTGTTGCCACTTGGCCATCTCCTCTCTTTGTGTGTGTGTCTCTGTCTTCCTGTGGCATCTTCCTCTCCGTGTATCCTTTGTCTTCTTATAAGGACATCAGTGACACTGGATGAGTGCCCTAGGACCTCAACTTTTTCCTTTCTTTTAAAAAACATTTATTTACTTTGAAAGAGTTACACGGGGTTGGGGGGGGAGGGAGAGATAGAGAGAGAGATAGAGAGAGAGATAGAAAGAGAGAGAGAGAGGTCTTCCATCTGCTGGTTCATTCCCCAGTTGGCTGCAATGGCTGGAGCTGCACTGATCCGAAGCCAGGAGCCAGGAGCTTCCTCCAATTCTGCCACGCAGGACTTGGGCCAACTTCTGCTTTCCCAGGCCATAGGAGAGAGCTGGATCAGAAGTGGAGCAGCCTGGTCCCGAACCAGCACCCATATGGGATGCCGGCACTGCAGGTGGCCACTTTACCTGCTGCGCCACAGCACCGGCCCCTTTCTTTCTTTCTTTTTTTAAGATTTACTTATTTATTTGAAAGAATTGCAGGGAGGGAGGGAGAGAGCCCGCTCCCCAAATGATCACAGCAGCCAGGGCTGGGCCAATCTGAAGCCAGGAGCCTGGAGCTTCCTCTGGGTCTCCCACATCAGTGCAGGGGCCCAAGGACTTGGTCCATCCCCCACTGCTTTCACAGGCCATAGTAGGGAGCTGGATGAAAGTAGAACAGACAGGACTTGAACCGGCGCCCGTATGGGATGCTAGCACTGCAGTTGTTGGCTTAGCCCAGTACACTACAGCATCCTCAAGTCCCACCCCAAATGATCTCATCTTAAGTTGATTACGTCCACAAAGACCCTATTTCCAAAGGAGGTCATATTCACGGGTACCAGGGGTCAGGACGTCAAGGCGTCTTGACGCATCAGGGCTCGCAATTCAAACCTGTGTACAAGGTAAGCCTTGGAGAGGACTGAGGAGGGCCCGAGGGAGTGTTGGGTGGGTGGTCAGAGGCCTGCTGAAGTGAGGAAGCAAGGTTGCACGTGTCAGAAAGAAGAGCTGTGCAGGCCGAGGGCACAGGAAGAGCAACAGCTCGGAGGCGGGCTTGTACTCGTGGCCACTGTGGCTGAAGGGCTGTGAGGTGTGACACTAGAGGGGGCGGGGCTCACTGCTAACTTAGGTCGAAGTCACTGGCAGAGAAGAGCCTATGATCTGACAGATGTTTCAAAGGTAGGAGGGCTGGGTGGGCAGCTGGAGCCGCAGCTTAAGGGGCCTGGGTGGAAAGCTTGGCCCAGTGGGTAGCAGTGGATGGAGGGAGAAGGCCCTGGCTCAGAGTCAGTTTCGAAGGGGAAGCCAGAAGGATTTGCTGCTCAGCTGGGTGTGGCTGCTGAAGCCAAGCAAAGAGTTAAGGGGGACTGGGAGGTTTTTGTCCTGAGCAACTGGGTGGACAGAGTTCCCATTTCTGATACAGAAGCAGTGGCACGGGAACAGGTCTCCAGCGGCATCCAGAGTTCAGTTTGCGATGTGTTAAATTTGAGCTGCCTGCTGGTCTTCCAAGTGGCAGTGCTGAGTAAGCCCCAGAGTGTGCAGATCTGGAGTTTAGGCACGAGGTCAAGACTGGACAGGAGCTGGGACATGTAAAT